CTGTGGAACTGTGTCCCTCCCTGCCTCCCTCTGGACCACCAGTGGCCAGAGGCGAGGGGCACAGAACACAGGCCGTGTGCGGCCCGTCCTGCTTCACTCACACTGGAGTACTCCTGAGCCAGCCACAGGCCTGGAGGCTCTGGTGCTTGACGACTGAGTTTCGTTCCAAACTTGGCCCTTTCCCAAGAGTCACCAAAGTCCACTGCCCCATTTGCTGCCCAGGCTTTGTCTGGAAAGTCGAGTCGCTTCGCCTCTGCATTTCTGTCCCACTGTGTGCGTCTGTTCCAAGAAAGAGTGTGAGACCGCCCTTTCTCAGCAAGCAGTAACAGGGCTGTAGGATCTGTTCCTTGCTGTGTTGGGGATTTTCAGTTTGAAGAGCCAAATGCAGGTGCATCTGAGCTACTTAGGGATGCCTGCACCTGTCCTAGGACTCGTCCCCGGGACTCCAGTGCTCACGCAGTGCTGGTCCACTCGGAGCCCCTCCTGGCAGGGCTGTTGGCCAGGCCTAACGGCTTTGTGGATAAAATGCAATAATAGAAATGTCTTCGGAGTTCATAGAAAATATCTATGTAGTGGAGGTGACTTTAAGCACTGAAAAAGGAAATTGTGCACTTTATGCTATTTGTACTATAACTTAGAATAAGGTGGCTTTTTATGTGAACAAAATACACTCTCAGTTATTTTAGATTTGTTGTATGAACACACTGTGCTATCCAAAGCATATCTTGACTTTTGAATATTTTACTCAACCTAGATTCTTAAATTCATCGGAATTTGTAGCCCCTTTTCCTTTCTTTGGTTTGAACCCCAGAGATACAAGATAATCTCTGTACCATTGAGCTACATTTGCTCTTTAGAAATTTTATTTTAGACAGGATTTCACTAAGTAATCCCATGGTGTTCCTCTTGCCTTGGCCTCCTGCGTAACTGGTATTTCAGGTGTGCAGCAGCACACCTGGCTTGTTACCACTCCTGAAGGCCCCACAGTGTCCCTCTAGATGTGGGGCAGGGTCGCTGATACAGTGCTCTCCCCACTCAAGGCCACAGGTCCCAGGGTGGCACTGGGCTTGGTTCTTTTCCTAGGACCGTGCAGCCCTGGCCTCTCAGCTCTTCCTTTTCTGTGGTGACCGTAGGGTGGTGGCCCTGTCCTGCTCAGGTCTTGTGGCTGCTGTGCGATGGAGATATGCTCCCAGCTTCTGTACTGAGATTCCCCCCCAGCCCAAGCAGAGCCCAGGGAGAGGTGGGTGCCCAGGGTGGGCGGGGCAGGAGGAGTCTGAATCTGGAGGAAGCCGCTTCCAGTGGCTGGGATTTGGGATCCAGCACCCATGGGGACCTCAGCCTTGCTCAGTTTCACTGTTCTGGTGGGGGTGCTCTGTGAGATTCTCTTGCAGAAGCAGCCAGTGTGTGATCAGCTGGCCTGGAGGAGTTCCAGGCCGTGAAAGGTGGGCATGGTGGCAGGTGTGGGGACACAGGCTGTGGGGACCGTGGACAATGGGGTCACACAGAGCCTGAAGCAGCAGCAGGGCCTGGTGAACACACAATATCTCTGAATAGATGAGGCAAACACAAAAGCAAGCCTGCCTACTACACCTTGCTGTGTCCTGCTGTGACCCTGGGAAGTGAAGTCCCAGCCAGGCCAGGGCTGTGCTCTCCAGTCCCACGTGGAGTCCATGCTTCGGGGAAGTGCTGGCCCAGGGCCCTTGGAGACCACGGTGGTGAATGCAGCAGCGCTGGAGGGCGCTCACTTCTCTGACATGCCTCGGCGGGTGGTCTGTTTCACAGGGCTAAGGGGCCGGCCGTCTCCGTGTAGTGTAAGGAGGACTGGACACCTCGTGGCCTTCAGGGTGTAGCTGTGACCCACTGTCACCGAGTGGCTGTGCCAGTGCCGTTGCCCAGGGAAGAGCAAGGACCCTGGGCTTTGAGGTGACCTAGGGGGTGTAGAGGCAGCGGCCGTCCCTGGAGAGGTGGTGAGGCCTGCAGGGCTCCAGGGACAAAAACCTCCATGTGCTTCCACTGTGTGCACTGTGCTTTTTGGGCTTGCTGCCCTGGAGGTGGCTGTGGTGGGGCACAGCAAGGGCTCCGATGGTCACAGACCCTGGCCCTTTGAGGCTGGCTGAGCAGTGGACTGCACGGCTGCAGAGACAGGGCTCCTGGACTAGAGTAGTGAGGGAGGTTTCTGATTTAGTTCTGGGCAAGGACAAGGGGCCCAGAGCCCTGTGTCAGCTGAGGACCTGCTTGCCAGGCTGTCTCCAGCTCCGAGATGCACTCTCTTGCATTCCTGAGTTTGCTAAGAGGCGCTAACAACGTTTTCACACAGCTGTGTCTCTGGTGACACCTGATCATAAGAGCCGAGCAACCTACCTGGCATCAAGACTGTAAAGGTAATAGAAGCCTTAGTGTGGCCAGGCCTGGCAGTGTACACCTGTCCTCCCAGTGTTTGGGGCGGCTGGGGCCGGAAGAGGCAAGTTCAAATCCAGCAACTTAGCGAGTTGGCGAGACTTGGTTTCAAAATAAAAAATACAAAAAGGGCTGGTTTTTTTTTTTAATACAATGGAGCACTACTCTGCCATAAAGAAGGATCAGCTCAAGACATTCCCCAGTAAATGGATGCACCTGTAGCCCACACTCTTAAGTGAAATAAATTGAATGCATGTGTATAAATACCACATTGTTTCTCTGGTGTGAGAAACTGAACAGACCAAAATATATAATAGATGTGTGAGATAGCAGGAGCTGTTCAAATGGGGAGGGGGACAGGAAAGAAGGCAAAAGTAAAAATGAGGAAAGGAAAAAAATAGAAACAAAGCTTCTGTAAATGGGGAGGGAAGGCGAGGTTGGAAGGTAGGGGAATGGGAAAAAAGAATCAGTTATATCCCATACAGGTACAAATTCTCTTTGATGATCGTGATCATTATATATGTTCAAAATGCACCTATTGGTGCATTTCTTCAACTCCAGTTGAAGACAAAGAAAACACACCTGAGGGAACAGGTGTGTTTGAAGCAAGGGGGATATCCTGTGGGAAATTAATGCAATGTGTCTATAATGTAATACATTTTTTAACATAAAAAAAGATATGCCCCGATTTTAAAGAATTTTAAAGTTAGGAGCATATACATGTTAGGGTTAAACATAGGTGAAGGAAATGGGATATGCTCATGGTGGAATACTATTCATCCATCAAAAGGAGGAAGTCCTGTCATTTGCAGGGGCGTGGGCAGCATGGGAAGTGGTTAAGCTCAGCGAGGTGCAGAGGGAGGCGGGCACTGTGTGACTGAGAGGGCAGTGGCAGGAGCTCCGAGACCCTGGTCCTGCAGCAGGACTAGCAGGTGGCTCCTGGCCGGGCTCCGGTGGTGTGGACCGAGCCTTAGGCCAGAGAGGAGGCCCTGGGTCCTGCAGCTACACCCTCGGCCTTGAGGGCTGAGCACCACATTCTCCACAGGGCCTGGGATGCCGGGACAGCAGGGAGCTCAGGGCCTTCAGGTAAAGTGGGCAACACAGAGTCATTGTCACCAGCCTGTCTTGTCACCCTGTCTTTGCTGGGCTCCCACCCTGGTTCTCTGCCCCACCTGCAGTTTTGCCCCATGTAGACGCCAGGCCGTGGCAGAGGTGGGTTCTGGGTGTGAGTGGAAAGCACCAAGCTGCTGTCAGTGGCCATCTGGGTTTCATATGTCTGTGCAGGACCATCTGGAAGCTGACCTTGGCTCCCAACCGCACAGACGACCGTCTCCAGCCTGTCTTTCCCTTTGTGGGTGACTGGAACGCATACCTTGGTCTCATCACACAATACCACCTGTGGCTAAGCTGGAGGTGGATTTGACTATTGGTGCCAGCTCGGTCAGTGAAATGGGCCCTGGCCTCTGAGAGTCTGCCATGCAGTCAGAGCCGTCTGGAGTCTACAGCCAGTTGGGGCCTTACAGAATTAAAATGCACGGTGCGAGTTTTGCTCAGGTTTATCTGTTGTGCACCAAAGTGGTTTTACATCAATCAGAATTACTTTTGTAGTTTTATGATTTAATACTTTCTTTTTTGAGACAAAGTCTCACTATATAGTCCAGGCTGGTCTTACACTCGTGGCAATTCTGCCTTAGCTTCCCGAGTGCTGGGATTACACCCATGCGCCACCACATCTGGCTGATTTTACTCAGTTCTTTAAATATCACAGCCATGACCTGGCTGCAGGGTGAGCGGAAGGTGGGGGAGCAGTTGGTGGCCCCTGGTGGACAGCTGGGCGTGTCTGTTCCACGGGCAGGTTGAGGTGATGGTGGTGATGGAGGGCCGTGTTTCCCTGGTGTCCAGGGCAGTATCTTAGCCCTGTGATGGGAGGGTAGCACCTGGGGAGACTTTGTTCCCAGGTGGGCTGGTGTTTGGGTTTGCATCTCTTAGAGGATAAAAGCACAGTGTGGAAAGCATTGGTCACAAAATACAGACACACCAGTGGCGAGGGACTGGGGCTGGGTCAGGTTGGCTTGGTGTCCGTGGAGGCTGACACCACTCTGGGTCAGTGTGGCAGGACGGGCTGGATTTGCGGTGGGCTGCAGCCTGAGCTAAGTGAATCCGGCGCTTATGTTGACGTGGAGAGGCCAGCAGGATGAATAGCACTCACGGACAGTAACAGCTCACAGCGGGCGGGCGTGAACCCAGCAGCAGGGCTCTGAAGGCAGCATGGTCAGGCGGGGAAAGGAGTGAGAGGAATGAACAGGCGGGTGGCCCAGGGAGCCCCAGCACCAGGAGACAGCGGTGGAAGAGCTTGGAGCCACTGCCCTGCAACTTCTCCCGTCCTCTCCTTCTGCGGCTCTCCGGCGGTTTCTGCAGAAGGCAGCCACTGTGTTTTCTCAGTGTGCCTCATCCCACCTTGGGCCCCTGCCTGGGCACTGTAAAGGAGGCTGCAGGTGTCACTGGGTCCATGCCCCTCACCAGCCGTCGGCCAGTGGCTGCTGGGCTGCAGGGTGACCGCTGCCTTGGGGGGCTGAGCAGTGGGCTGCGTTTGTGTCTTGCAGGTGACCGCTGAGCTCCTCGCCATGTCTGATGGAGACTATGATTACCTCATCAAATTCTTAGCTCTGGGTGACTCCGGAGTAGGGAAGACCAGTGTCCTCTACCAGTACACAGATGGTAAATTTAATTCCAAATTTATCACCACGGTGGGCATTGATTTCAGGGAGAAGAGAGTGGTAAGTTCCGCACCCCGCCTTCTGCGTTCTGCACCCCGCTGTTGTGCACTGTCCCGTGAGAGCACAGAGGCGGGCAAGCCGCAGTCCCACAGCCTGTCAGATGCCAGAGCCCCGCTGCCTGCGGCCTGCCCACCTCTGTCTGCCCGTTGAGCCTGCCACTGCTGGTCCATCTCTGTTACAAATCTGCCAGCCCCCCTCACACCTCACGCCCCCTCTCCTAGGCTGTCTCCTCCTCCTTGGCCTTCTGCCCTAAGAAACTGAAAACCTGGTGGCAAATCAGGCCTGTGCGCCCCGCTACTCAGGAGGCTGAGGCAGGAGGATCAAAAATTTGAGTGCAGGCCGGGCAATTTAGCAAAAGCTTACAGAGGCCTGGGCTTGGCTCTGTGGTTGAGCTCTGTGTTAGCACACATGGGGTCTCTGGTCTGATCCTCAGAGTCTAAAGACAGCAACAAAATCAGCAAAACAGGAGATGAAAGCAAGCAGAAGGAATGTAGAGACTACATGGAAACAAATGCTCTCTTCTTGAAAAGACAGCTACATTTCTAAGAAATGGCGCCTCTGCGGACTGTACAAAGTGAAGAGCTGATGAAGAAACGCTATATAGCTGCATGCCAGTAGATTACACCGCGTGCCAGAGACGGAGGGATTTCTAGACACAGGCGAGGGATGGACCTGAGAGGAAACGAGAGGTCTAAGGGTCTGTGAGCCGCCAGCAGACCAGAGGGGCCCTGGGGCTGCCCATGAGGAAGCCCAGAGTTCCACAGATTCTGCACGGGTCACCTCCACACTTCTACAGCACAGATGGGTGGGAAACCTCCCTACTCCTTTTGTGATGCCAAAGATCCCCAGAACCAGAATTCACAAAGTTGTTCTGAGGGAGGGGAAGCTGCAGACCAGCAACCTCTGGGGAGATGGAAGCATCAAAGCCAGCAGCAAGCAGAAGGGGTGCTCACGGAGATGAGGCAGAACCTAACCCAGGGGTAGGGTTCAAATGGCGAGATGGTGCTCACCTACAGCTGGCTACTCGGGAGGCTGAGACAGGAGGAGCACAAGTTCCAGATAAGCACTAGGTAAACCCCAGCTCTAGTTCTTGATTAAAAAACACTCAGCAAATTCAGATTTGAAGGGAATATCTTCAACCCAGTAACGGTGTCTGTGATGTACAGCCAAGCCCACCCTAGGGCTGGCGTCTGCCTGCCTTCCCGCTGAAGGCAAACGCAGGCTGTCCTGTGTGTTCCTGCGGCCAGGCCACCAGGGAAAACTGTGCTGGTGGGCAGGCAGGAGAAAAGGCAGATGTGTCTAAATGGGGGAAATGAAAGAACAGAGACGGCTCTTCAGTCTGGAAAGTTCCAGGGGAGCCTGAAGGGACCAAGCTGAGCCAGGCAACTTGGGCCTCAGCTGCACCCAGGCTGAAAGGCAATGACTTAAGATGCTCCCCGCACCACGGCTTCGCAAGATGCACAAATTTGAGAACAAGTTTAGCAAAGTGGAAAACCAGCCCCTGGCAGCCATGAAGCATCGTGGGGAAAAAGTTCAAAGGTGAAAATAAGTTGAAGCCACTCCTGCCAGGGGTTGGAAGGAAGGCTCTTCTCCTTGGCACCCCGAACCCTGAAGTGCCACGGTGTGGCAGGCAGCTGGCCCTCGGCTCCACCAGCCCACAGGTGACCAGTGCCAGCTTGAGGACCACTCTGGAAGGGAATGGACACTGGACTCCAAAGCCACACAAGTCAATAGTGGCCCTGTATCTGCTTACTTGGGGACCTGTGGCATTTTGTTTTAATTTTTTTTACTCTATTTTACTATATTTTTGAGTTATATTCTCTAGTTCCTTCTGGGCAGTAAGATTATCAGCTTAACTTTTGACAATTTAGGTTGTTTAAAAAAATCTTTATACATACACATACATATATATATATATATATGACAAAGATAGGATCTCACTGTGGTCCAAGCTGGCCCTCAACTCCCTGTGTGGCCCAGGCTGGCCTTCAACTCATGGCGAGGCTACTGCTTCAGCCTCCCAAGCTCCCAAGTGCTGGGATTACTGGTGTGTGCCACCATGCCCACCCAGCCCAGTTGTCATGAACAGTGTCTTAATTTCAGTATAGATAAAACTTTAGTCTTGCGCTTTCTCATGTCCCCTGCTCTGATCATGCCCATTCTCAGGTCAGTGGAACCTCACGCAGCTGTTACTCAGTGTTGGAGACAGAGTCTCACTCGAGCCCCAGCTGCCTCCCCGCAGCCCTGCGTCTGTGGCCCTGTCTCCAGTGAGCGTGGTCTTCAGGCATCCCTGTGCGGGCCGGCCCATAAGCAATTTCATCTCCTCTCGTTTGCTCTGGGGTATCTCGGCTTCTCCTTCAGAGTTCATTCAAGCACAGCTGGGAAGAACTCTAATTCCTGCTCCAGAGTTTTGTTTTTCAAGCACTTTGAAGATCTGGAAATCACAAGTTCTCTTTTTCTCTCCCGTTCCTTTTCACAGGGCTTGAATGATCTGTTTGCCATCTCTAGGGGTCTTTCACCCTCTGCAGACGCGCTCTGCCTCCTGTTTGCTGTTTCATAGGCTGCACGATTCTGGAGCTGTGTCTGTGCCCACCGACTGCCTTTTTCTCGTTCTGGTCCCTACTAAGCCCCTCAGGGAACTTCGCACCTCAGAAACTGACCGTTTGCACCCAGAATTTCTTTCTTTTAAAATCATGGTCGGGGGATTAACCCCAGGCCCTCACCCTGCCTCAGCCCTTGTTTATTTTGAGAAGGGTTTTACCTGGGTTGCCCAGGCTGGGCTTGAACTTGGGATCCTGCTGCCTCAGCCTCCCAGAGTAGTGCGGTTACAGGCCTACCCCAATGTCCAACTTCTATTTGTCTCTACTTTTTAATGCTGTCTTGTTGTTAGTAAGTCACTGCTGTCATACTGTTTTTCATTATTTGGGCATTGCAGTTCTTCGAATGCGCTTAGATTTGCTGATTTAAAATCTTTGTCTTTGACTGTTTTCTGCTGCTTGCTTTTCTCTGTGTGCGAGGTGCGCTTCCCCTTCCCTTGGTGTTTGCTGTTTTCCCCAATTGGCCAGAGCTTCCAGGGCAGTCAGAGGTGACAGCTCACACTCCCCTCTCGGGGGTGGTCCTGGGGTGCATGGGATCTCGAGATGAATGATTTTCATGATATTTGGGAGCAGCAAAGCCTCCTTTGGGCAGTGCCTGTCCCATTTTAAAAAGCTTTTCAGGTTGGACTTTGCTGGCCCCACTGGGATTTTCCCCAGGAGGTGCTGGTCCTGATAACAAGCATCCTCACCCTGTGGAAACCCAGGTGGGACTTTCCAGCCCTTCTGCCTCCTCTGTCCACACTAGCTACTGGGCTGCCAAGGTGGAGCATCTGCTGGCTTTCCCAGCTGCTCCAGACCAGGGGTGATGGTTAGAGATGGGCAGGGCCGGCCAGTGAGAACCCTGATGAGCTGTTTGCCTTGACTCCTGGAAAGCTGCAGGCACGAGTTGATTCCACAGTGCTGTCCAGGTTGATCCTGACCATTTTTGCCAGCGTCTCCATCGCTGTTTGTGTAAGAGGCATTGGGAACACCTTTCCTGCAGGTCCATTGGAGCTTCCTCCAACACAGCTTACAGGACGCCCCTTAAGATGGGGTAGGAGAGCCCAGTAGGCAGCGTCTCCCAAGGCCAGCTGTCCTGTCCTCAATCAACTTGTTTCTGAGTCTGCAAGGGCGCAGGTGTGTGCCTTTGACACAGCTGCTGTGTTGCCTGCATGTTGCCTACTGGCCTGCTTGTGTGTGTGGCTGTGCTGCGGGGCACTGGGGTCTCTGCTGACCATAGTGGCAGGGCTGGTGGCTCTGAGCACCTCTGTCCCTGCTCTGCTGCCCTAGGTGTACCGAGCCAGCGGGCCGGATGGAGCTGTGGGCCGGGGCCAGAGGATCCACCTGCAGCTGTGGGACACTGCTGGCCAGGAGAGGTGCGTGGATAGGTGGGGTCCCCTGGGGGGAGGGGTGCCCTGCTGCCTGTGCTTTCTTCCTTTCCCTTCCCCACAGCAGCTGTGGGCAGCCTCAGGTCCACCAGAGCCGTGTGCAGGGCTTTGGTTTCATCTTTCATTAGGGAGTATGTGGCCCAGTTGTGGCTGTTCTGTGTCACCTGTGTCCCTCCTCATGACCCCCCCTTTACTTGAAGAAAGTCCCTGATACCATGCTTTTCATTGGTAACTGCTCGGGTGCCAATCTCTAAACCATAAGGGCTCTTTACTAAAACACTAGTTGAGAATCATCACGGGAACCCAATTGCTGAGTGACTGGTGGCTGCACTGACACCCTCTGCTCTGGAGCCGAGGCCTGTCGGGCTGGCCCTACAGATGCCCTCCTGGGCCAATAAACCTGTCACTATCCAGCGCTTCCTGCTCAGGCTTCAGGCTCGCAGGCTGACCTGGGACCCCTCTGGACCTGACACTGTACACCCCTCTGCACTGCCTGGACAGTGACCGCCTATCCCGTGTTTGCAGGTTCCGCAGCCTGACCACGGCGTTCTTCAGGGATGCGATGGGCTTTCTTCTGCTCTTCGACCTGACCAATGAGCAGAGCTTCCTGAACGTTCGCAACTGGATCAGTGAGTGCTGCTCACCCCGTGCCCCTGTCCTCATTGCCTGGGAGGCGCATCTGCTTCGAAGGGGCTTTAAGGGGCAAGGTCTCAGTCAGGAGTGGTAGCACAATTTGCAGCTCAGCAGCCTGGGAGGCTGAGACAGGAGGGTCACGAGCTTAGCCCAGCTTGGGCAACTCAGTGACTTAATGAGGTCCTGTCTCAAAAAATAAGAAGTGCCGAATTCGTGTCACAGGAATTGCAGCCAGGGTTGGCACCGCGTTTACCTCCTGTGCCCTGGCACATGCCGGCCGGAGTCTGGGATTCCAGCTCCTCTGTTTCTGTCTAAGTAACAAGTTAGACTCTCTGTACCTGGGTGTGTGTATCTGTATGTGTGTGCCTCTGTGTGTGTGTGTGCATCTGTGGAGCTCACAGCCATGTTGCTCAGAGCCTGGGCCCCACAGGGCCTGCCCCTTGAGCCAGGGGTCCTCTGTCCAATTTCTGTGAGGACATGCAGACAAAGGCCTCGATCCTAGGCCTCTCTCAGCATTTATTATCTTGTGAAGAATGGGGGGTGGCTCAGGGATGAGTGATAGTGAGGATATTGGGGATTACTGAATAACTTGAGTTGGCTGGCCAGGTGCAAGAATGGCATCTCTGTAATTTGCAGAGATAAAGATATGCAGAAGGATCAATTTATATAACCTGATTAAAGTAGTAGTAGAATTGCTTTGGGGGGCTATTGCTTCGGTTTCTGATGTGCAAACTCTTGTGTCCTGGGGAGTCATAGCCTCTTACCTTGAGGCTCTTACCCAGTTGATATTCCCAGAGCTATTTGCTCTAACATCTCGAGTGCTCAATCCTGTATTGTGGAGAGCACCATGCGAGGAAACAGGACTGTCTGATGGCTATAGACTTTGCAGATTAGCACCTTGGCTAGCTTTATTTGCAATGCTCAGAGCCAATTGAAGAGAGAAGGAAATACCCTAGCCAGCCTTTTACATATTGGTATAAGGAAATGAGTCTCTAAGTAATCAGTCACAGCAATTGTTTTGGATTCAAAGTCAGTCACTGGAGTTGTCTCCCACAGTGGGCTGGGCAGGGCCCTTGCTTCCTGCAGGCCTGCCAGTGGATTGAGTTTCCACACCTTTCATGGCATCCCCAAGTGGACATCATCTCTTTTACACGTCCTGCTTGTGTTGTTCCCCTTACCCTCATCCAGCACGTGCTTTTTAAACTGCTAAGAGTCTGCCTGTTCTTTGACACCTGCCCTCTCCAAGAAGCTGATAGGAGGAGCACTCTACCCTCAGGCCCGACCCCTTCCCCTGCCTGCTGGCCCCGGCCTGGCCGTGGGGTGTGAATCAGTGGTGAGGCCTCATCTCCGGGATGCGCTTTCAAACACCCAGTCGGCCTGCATTTGACACAAGTAATTCACAGCTTACCAGAGAAAAGTTAAGAAAAACCTCTTAGATTCTCTGGACTGAGCTCTGGTGACCCTGCGAGGGGCCTCCAACGAATGTGTCTGGGTGGCTTGGTCCCGTTCCCCCAGGGGCACTGCCTACCGCCCACCCACAGCACCCAGCTAGGGCAGGGCTGGGAATGTGTGCACCTCACCAGAAAGTGAGGCAGGCAGGCACAGCTAGTGTGTAGCAGAGCCCTTCTAGCTGCTTACGAGCGCCCATGGTGTCTCCTGTGCTGTGTTTCTCTATCTGCAGGCCAGCTACAGATGCATGCGTACTGCGACAGCCCGGACATTGTGCTGTGTGGCAATAAGAGCGACCTGGAGGACCAGCGTGTGGTGAAGGAGGAGGAGGCCAGGGCCCTGGCCGAGAAATACGGGTAAGAAGGGCGGGCAATGCCTCCCCCAGGGAAGTTTCCATATACACATGAGCACGGGAAAGATGACAAAAAGACAGAAGTGAGGAATTAGAGCAGAAGGCTCTGCTGTGGCCTGGGGCATGGAGTACATGCTCTTCACGCAGGTGCTCGAGGTAACAGAGCCACAGCTGCGGTATGCTGGGTGCTATGTGTCATGTGTGACCCTCCAGGACGTGGTCCTGTCTGCTGCATCTCATGGGCTCTGCAGAGCGTGGCTGTGGGGTGCAGCACTGATCGCAGGGTTTCCTCTTGCAGGACGCCAGCCACAGAGGCTCCTAGGTGACCTGCCAGGAGCGGGTTGAGCATCCCAGCGGGTGCTCACACATCTGTCCTCCCATTGTCACAGGGAGTGTGGGCTGGTGGGTGGCTACTACGTGACTCTGGGGAGGGTCTACCCCATCCTATGACTGTCACATGCTGAGGACGTGTGTAGTGATAGTAAAAAGGAGCCGCAGAGCCCGGGACCCACGTGAGAAGGGCAGGAGGCACTGGCGACTACACATTTTCAGATGGCACTGGTTCCTGGCCACTGCTGGCTCCCAGGCACTGCGGCTGTGGCCCAGGAGGCCTGGGGAGAGCAGCAGGGGCCAAGTCACCAGCAGGCTGTGCCACAGGGGCAGGATCTCTTGTGTATGGCACAGGAGCCCCAGTGGGCGGCACAGGGAAGGAACGTGCTGGAGGAGCCACGCTAGTGAGGGGACTCGTCCTGCTTGGTGGGTTACGTCCATGGTGACACACAGGGTGGGGGTACCAGCACAGTGCCAGGGCTGCCTCTGTGACATGGCTTCATCCCCAGAGGGCGGTGGTGACACTGAGTCCTTCTATGGCCCTTCCTTTGGAGTTGGGGTAGTGGAGAGACGTGCCAATGTGACCAAGCGTGATGGCAGAATGTGTCTCGTGTGTGCTGCCTGTGGTCAAGACTGTGCAGCCAAGGCCGAGGTCTCTGGAGTGGGACGGGAACACCAGCCCTCTCAGAACGGCTGCCCCTAGGTCACAGCAGGGGCTTGGTGTGGCCCCAAGTGGACAGGACACAGGGCAGTGGGATGTGGCTTTCACAGCCGTACTGTTTGCAAGCTCGCCGGCCTTTGCTTGGCTCAGTGGACGGTGATGGCTTCTAGGGCGGGTTTCACACTCCATAATTATCTGCAGCCAGGTGTGCAAGGTGGACGCTGAGCCCCCGCAGCCAGCAGGAAGGACACCGGGCAGTGCCAAGGACGCCTTGGTCTGGATCCTCCTGGGACCCGCTGTCTGGGCCTGGGACAAGGCATCCAGCACATTTGCTGTTGCTCTGAGCACCTTCCCCCTGGGGGCCCCACCTCCTAGTTTTGAGGAGTGGATAGCAGGAAAAAACCCACTGGGATGTGGGCGGTGCCCTGTGCATGAGGAGAGGGGATCGCCGTGAAAAGCTGCAAAGGACACAGCCCTTCTTGGTTTGAAGCTGTTTATAGTTTAATCTTGATTAATCTACTAATCTTGATTAGTCTGCTTTCAAAAAGCATGTTAGAACAAATCATCCGCGAGTCCTCCAGAAGGCCACACAACTGCGCAGCTGCAGTTTCTGCCAGAATTTTTCTGTTGGTAAAGGGGCTCTGCAAGTGTCCCGCTGGCGCCACCATGTGGACGGAGGGAGCTGGGTCACCTCGTCTGTGGCTAAGCCAAGGACGATTGAAGCCCAGTGGCAGGCAGCACACCTAACCCTCACTACCACGAAGGCTGAGGCAGGAGACTGCAAGTTTACGTCAGCCTGGACAACACCGTGAGAGACCCTGTCCTCAAAATAAAATGGAAGGGGCTGGGCTACAGCTCAGCACTTCCTGGATTCAGCTTCCAGTACTAAGAGTAGGAAAAGGGCACCCATGCGTGGCTGCCCACACTCCTGCAGTCAGGCTAAGCGCAGGCGCACGTTCGCGTCCGCTCCTGGGAAGGGTCCTCAATTAGTCCTCTGGGGACCTCATCCCAGCCCTCCGTCCGCGCAGCTGAGTGCAGTGGCGTGGACCCTACTACTCATTTATACTCAGAGAAGCAAAGCCCGACTGCTGTAAACACTGGTCTTGTGATCCTCCTGCCTCAGCCTCCCAGAATGCTATGATTACAGTTTTTTGCACCACCACACCTGGCTTACCATTTTTCCATAAACGTTATTTCTTTGGTAGTTTTGCTTATATCCTTTGTCTATTATTATTTTAATTTACTTGAAAAATTATCTGTATCTTCTGGATTCTGGCTTACTTGCCTGGCATATGTAGCACAAGCATGATTTTGGGCCATCATTCATTTTTGGTACCAAGGATTACACTTACAACCTTGCGCTTGCCTGGCGGGTGCTTATGCATTATTCATTTTAAACTGTGTTTATAACATATGTAATGGTACCAGAGTGTTAATCATATTAGGGAGACTTCAAACTTTTTTTTTGGTACTGGACATTGAACTCATGACCTTGCGCTTACCAGGTAGATGCTAACACCACTGAGCTAAATCCCTGGCCCCAAAACTTTTTCTTTCTATTTGAGATTTTCTGTTTTAAGAAATTCTTTTGTTCCTATTTTAAGAAATTCTTCCTGTTGTCATAAAAAATAATTAGTTTCTTCCTAAAAGTTTTCAAATTTCGCTTTTCCTGTAGAGAAATTTAGAATTTTCTACACCAAGCATTAAATTTTAGCCAGGTGTGGTAGCACATGTCTGTAATCCCAGAGCTTAGGGCTGAGGCAGGAGGATCACCATGAGTTTGAGGCCAGAGTGGACTACATAATAAGATCCTGTGTCAAAAAAATCCAAGAAGCTGGGCATGGTGGTTCCTTCCTGTCATCTCAGCACTCGGGAGGCTAAAGCAGGAGAATCATTGCAAATTCAAGACCAGCCTGGGCTACAAAGTGAGCTCAAAGCTAGCTTGAACTGTGTAGCAAAACCCTGTCTCTGAAAGACAAAAAAAAAAAAAAAGAAAATCTTAAAATGAAAAAGCATGTACTCTATGCAATTTACATATATCATATTTTCCTTCAATAAAAAATAATCAGACTCAACTTTTGAAAGTGGGTGGGACTTCTAGTTGAGCTCTCACTGCTGTGAGGCACACAGTGTGGGTCATTCTGCTCTGCTGTCCCTCACCTTTGCGCGCCCTGGGGTAGGTGACGTCTGTATCCACTCCGATGTCTCACTGAATGGTTTAGATAATGCCTGTCCTGTCCTCACTGAGCCGTCTGTTTCCCCAGTGTCCCTTACTTTGAAACGAGTGCTGCCAATGGGACAAACATCAGCCCCGCGATCGAGGCGCTGCTGGACCTGATCATGAAGCGCATGGAGCGGTGTGTGGACAAGTCCTGGATCCCCGAGGGTGTCGTGCGCTCCAACGGCCACACTGCCGCCGATCAGCATGGCGAGGAGCGGAAGGGGGGGTGCAGCTGCTGAGCCCCAGAGCACATGTGGCACAGCTGCCACACGTGGTCATGAGCTCACGGCAAACGGCTTCCCAGCACCCCTTAGGCCTAGTAAGAAATTGCCCGCTTTTTAATTGTAGCAGCTTTGTCAATTTTTCTTGAAGGTTCAGCCTGAAAAGTGGCTCCTGGGGCCCAAAGTGCCTTATGAACCCTGGGCTCCAGGGGCAGGGGCTGGGCAGGTGTCTGCCACATGGGGCACCTTGGCCAGGGCTCTGTCACTGGCACAGATGCAGGCAGGCCCAGGCTCTCCTGTTAGGAGATGAGATGCAATCGCAGTGCTGAATCGAAATTTAAAGCCTGCACCATAGGTGACCTCGAAACCACCACCTCAGCCACTCACAGGTCAGATGAGCACATGCACACCTGGCCCACGGGTGTCCCCTATGTGTACACAGCCACCCAGTGGCCCCAGCGGCTAGGCTGCTGGGACCATAAGCTCACTGTGACTCTGTGGCACAGGGGAATGCTTGACGCTGGGGTGGGGCTGTCTTGAGGTCCTGTCAGCCTCCCGACTGTGTTCCCGTGGCACTGAGGGCTGAAGGGAGGCGGAAGCCCATTGTGCCTGGCGTGTGGCAGCACTGGCCTCAGCTCACGAGCTGCCGACCTGCCCCCAGTGCCGCACTCCCTGCTGGCGTTCACAGTGTAACTTTTCGAGTTGCAACCCAAGGGTCAGTGCTGGTGACAGCAGTGCAGCTGCCGAGGGTCAGAGGTCAGATGCTCACAGGTCTCTAAGCAGCCACTTGTGCTCACCCACACCCGGGGCAAGGACAGGGCAGGCCCATGGCTGCTCTCAGTGTGCCTCCAGGTTACCAAAGGTTCACAGCAGGGAAGGCTGTGGGCATCGAGATGGTGGTCTGTGAGGTCCAAAGTTATTTCATTTAGGGGAAATTCTTATTTATTAAAGTGGTTTAAATAAAGTCGATTGAAATTTCCAGTGCTTTAGTGATTACTTAGGAAAAAATGTCTCTTGCTATAATTTAGTGAAAACTCAGAATGAAGGTCTCTTATGGCAGCAGGTGTTCAGAACTGTGGTTAGAAAGCTGCAGGTGTCTAGCAGCTGCTCCTGCACGATGACTTGCACCTGGCTTTTTATCGCGCCCCTATAGGGTTCTGGCTGCTGCCCCTTGCCACTCCTCTAGCAAACTGAGCCATGAATACTGAGATTTAATATTTTTCTGTCCCATTCTAAATACCAAGGAAACCAAGGAAGCCACGGAAGCCCGTGCTCTGCGTTGTCTTGTGGTGAGGGAAAGACAAGCGTTTAGAGGCAGGGCCAGGGTCATACATGGTGCCCTGCGCTGTCCCAAGACATTTGCAGAGCACGTGCTTATGCCACGGGTGTTCTTATGCCATCAGACCCACAACAGTGAGTCACATTTCTATCTCCAAGAGCCAGGAGACAGCTACGGGCCCGACTGGCCATAAATGCTGGGTGAATAAAGGTCCACGTGGCACAGTACCCCAAGCTCCCTCCAGTTATCAAAAAAAAAAAAAAAAAAAAAAAAAAGACCTGTATCTGTTTTGAAAAGCATGTTTAAATTTGATATGTTAGTGTTTTTCTATTTACAAGCCTGTGTAAAAAAGTGTCACGAATTTTGTGCCAATAAAGCTATGATTAAAAAGGCGATGGAGTCGACCAATTTTTGTGTGAACATTTCATTTCCTGTCACAGTTAACAGATGACACCACTGAAGGACCCAAACCTTTGGACACAAAGTCCACCATGCTCACGCGGGGCCACACAAAGCACTCTGGAGAAAGTAATCCAAGGTCATCAGCAACTATTCATGTGGCACCATCAGCCTCTGCATCGGCTGATCCATTGAGTCAACTTGAGAAGTCTAGAAGCTTCACTACCCAGCAGTTCTACATCCTAGGGAGTATAGGCCGGGCCCCTATCTCTGTCACACCCAAGGAACAACATACCGGCGGCCTGAGCCCGGATCCTGCGGTAACCGCCAGGGGAGGGACGGGGGCGGGTTGGTTCAGTGGCCCCTGCGCTTGCGCCGATGGGTGAAGCACCTGCCTAACCCAGGCCACCTTCCCCAACTCATATATCGTCACTTCCGGTAGAGGCGCATCACTTCCGGTAGAGGGCGCATCACTTCCGGCACCGCCTCTTCCTCTTCCGGCGTGCCACTCGGTCGTGCTGTCGACCGGGTTCCGACATGCGTATAGAGAAGTGTTACTTCTGCTCTGGGCCCATCTACCCCGGCCACGGCATGATGTTTGTCCGTAACGATTGCAAGGTGAGAGGCCGAAGCCCTCTGGTGCCGTTCTCTGCGTGGGGCGGTCTGCTGGCGGCGTCGCGATCGGACCCCGCGGACTGTAGGCGCAGGGCCGCTCGGTATGAGGGCCTGCTGGGGACACCTCGAGGGCGGAGGGTGCGGTGCTGTCGCGGGGGGGCGCGCCGTTTCGACCCGGTAGAGTTAGAGAAGCGGGTGGAGGCGAGCGTTGGTTGTACAGGAGGACAGGCTCGGACAGGCTGCAAATGAAAACAGCGTGCTGTCACACAGCGCCGCTTGGCGAAGGCTTTGGTTCCTGCTGACAGCGGCGCACACGTCCCTCTGCTTTTCAAAACCGAGCTCACACCGGTACCCGATTCAGGACCTGGGTCTGGTTTCCCCGGCTGTACGGGGGCCAAGCCTGGGTTTGACGCGGCAGTCTCAGTGTGCTGGAAGTCAGCTCTGCCTCTGCGTCTACCTGTGTCCCGGCCTGAGAGCCTGGTGGGGCACAGAGTCCCGCCGTCGCGAAATGGACCTGCAGGAGACGAGCCCGCGATTGCCACGTCGGGTCTGATTATCCTGGGGCGCCAAGATTCTGTGCAGAGCTGGGTAGTCTCTTTTTGCCTGACGTTTCCCAGCTGGTGCTCGGGATTGTGACCGCGGCCTCGGGGCCAGGGCGTGGAGTGTACAATGGGGGACACGTTGGAGTGGACCGAAAGCCCGGGCAGGCGGGACCGGGGTCAGGCTGGCCAGCAAGGAGCAGGGACGAGCAGCAGACATGTTAATCTGATTTCCAGATCTGGATCTTCTCAGCTCTGTTTGAATTTTCCATTGGATGGAGAAATTCTGCTGTTCCCTAGCAGTGGACCTACTGAAGGGGAAAACCTTAGGACCACAGGTCTTTCTGAACTCTGAATTAACACCATCCTTGCATGTATGGAGGGACTGGCTAGAAATGTGAGATTCTCTTTGAATGTTTACTTTTGTGTTTGTTATATGTTTTATGTGTATGTTTCATGTCTGCCTTCATTCTGCCCGGCTCTTGTTTCTCTTAGTTCATATTAGGTGTTGGTCACTTCTGTGACTTCCTAACTCAAGGTTCAACCCTATTCTTGTGGCCTGTGAAACAGTGTTAGGGAGTGTAGGGCAGAGTTAACGCAAGTGCCCCATAATTGTACATACTTTATAAACAGGAAGAACACGTGCAGCCTAGATTAGAGTTTGAGTTTATTGAATTAGTGAAATGACAAAACCTAGAAGAAGCTGAGGCCAAGGTGTTAGGTGTGTATTGGCTCCTTGGAGACTGGCATGATGATGGTTCAGGGGAGAAGGGAGCTTGTGAAGCTCCCCCTTGTCCTCCCTCTTGACCTCCTCCTGTATGTTTAGCCACTTCCTTTTTCTGTGTGAGTTCCTACATTATTGCATATGGCTTTATCTCATATTTTATATCCTGGCCTGATTTTTATCCTTCTTGTTGCAAAGTGAGACTGTCATGTAGTCAGACTGTTGTTCATGGGGTACTTGTTTCAGTTAGGCCCACATCCCTGTCTCTTGAGTACAGCACCTGGTCTGCAGATGCTTCTTCAGTGCCTGTCGAATCCTGTCATGGCTCCACTGGCTCTGGTCTATTCAGACCCTGCAGGTGCTTTACAAGTGGTACCTGTTGGGCACTGACTCAGGATGATGACTCACTGGCCCTGTTTGGTGTCATGAACACCAGAATGAGCTCCAACTGTCATCTGATCTCAGAAAGCAGCTTGTCTAGGGCTTATCCTTTAGATTATCAGTGGTGGGTGCTTTTAATTTCATTTGGAAGGTAATAATATTTGGGCTGAAAACATGCAAATAAAGGATAATGATATCATTACTCTGGGAGACTTCATTTCATGTGAAGTTGGCTCAGGAATAGGCATGCTCTCATTTAGATTTCTCAGGTGGTTTGGACCAGTTCAGATTATACTGTGCTTAGTATTTCCCTGAGGAACAAAGTATGTGAAGTGAGTGTTATGATTTGTCTATTTATCTGGGCTTACTTAGTTTAAGATGTTTGTACTCTTTATTTTATTTTAACCAGTTTTATTGAGTGACCCTTTGTAGGTATGATACCTTTACTTTTTGGGAAGATCCATAAACCTCAAAGAATTACTTTTCCTATTTCCCCTAGCAACACACACAAATTTCTAAGACATAACAAGGTAAAAGTGTGCAGTTCAGTTATTCTCTCATGCATCAAGCAATCCAGGATGGTGTCGTGAGCACCTGGGGCTTGCGGGTGAAGCCCATGGTCGTTTCTCAGACTTAACAGTGATTACCTGTCTGACAGGAGTAACAGGTGATGATGGAAAAGTTTTCAGTGTTGACTTTTCAGTATTTTAACTTTTCTTACAGGTGTTCAGATTCTGTAAATCCAAATGTCATAAAAACTTTAAAAAGAAGCGCAATCCTCGCAAGGTCCGGTGGACGAAAGCATTCCGGAAAGCTGCCGGCAAAGAGCTTACAGTGGTGAGTATGTTTAGCTGTGGGACAGTTTTCATGTTTCAGAATTGAATTTTTCGGGGTCGGAAACTGTCATCTAATTGACCATAATGAGGGTTCCTGTGACACGGTTGTGAGTGTTATGAATTTGGCTATGGAAATAATCTAATCCTCACACAGTTCTGGAAACCGTCATTCTGTAGACTTTCTGTTTTATTAATTTTTTCTATCTACCTGTCTGTCTATGTATTTAAAAAGGAAAAATTTCCAGCTCAGTTTTGTGATTTTTCTTACCCTTAAAAAAGTTGCGTCTTGCAAGGAGGATCCTTGCAGTCCACTCGAATGGATTGGGGTGCAGTTAGAGTTGTTAGTCTAGGGTTTTGAGACAAAGTTAAGAGATTATTGAAGGGTTCTTGAAGTCCTGCTCAGTTTGTGGTAGGCTCATTGATCAGCTCCCAGATTGCCTCCGTATGACTTACTCTCTGAGAACCGAGGTTGGTGAGTAGATTGGTGGTCAGAGGGAGAAGTGGTGGGAAGTTGGGTGCGGGGGCCCCTCGAGTGTCTGACTGTCTGGATTGATGGAGGGGTCTGTCACAGCTTTCCACATTTGGTTCCAGAGTAGGGAGAGGAAGAAAGCTGCACCCCAGCCTTCCCTGTGGCCTCTTCTCTCGGAGCCCAGCCTTTTCCTGTCCTTGGGATTCTTCTGCTTCTTTGAAGACAGTGCTGCCCTCCAGCCTGGATTAGGGTTATATCCTGCTGCCCACCGGCAGAAGCTGCAGGAGTTTTCCAGAGGCCCTTGTCTCCTAGCCAGAGCTTTTCAGTGAACGTACACACCAAATCGTGACTCCAGTCACTAACATAATTTTCACCTGGCTGAGAGGCAGCCTGAGTGGAGAGAAACCGCCTCAGACTTTGGCAAGTGCTTGGGCCTCACTTCTGCCGAGGCTGTGAGGTAGCAGCGATGGTGGTTTGAAAACAGCTGATTCCAGGTGGCTCTGAAACCCAGGAGTCCTTGTAGCTGCCCTGTTTGCAAGTGTTAAAATCATAGAGTGTCACCTGTCAAACGTCAGCAGCTGGAGGGGTGTGGATGTGTGGAGGGGACCTGCAGCACATGTGACCAGGAGTGCATCCCTCAGAGCAGCACCCCATTTGCTTCAGCATGTGTGGCTCTGCATGCTTGCTCTGACAGACAGGTGCTCAGGTGAAACTCACAACATTCTTGATGTTCAGCTGTGTTACATCTGTGGAAAATGGCAGTTTTGTGTGTTGGACTCTAATGCAGTTTTCTAGCTGCGTCTGGCCTGGGATGGGATGGGAGGCCTTGCCTGCGTGTGGGTGATTTCCATGGGTGAGTATGGTCCCCACCGTTCCACCAGCCCATGCAGCAGAGTTCTCAGTGCTTGTGGGTGTGGAGGGGGGAAAGGCTGGGCGCCTGCATTCTCAGGGACACTGGGGGATGCTCACAGGAAGGAGGTAGTGTAAGAAACACTTGCTTTCTGTTTCTCTTACCAGCCCTCTGCTTCTTGCAGGATAATTCATTTGAGTTTGAAAAACGTAGAAATGAACCTGTCAAATACCAACGAGAACTGTGGAATAAAACTAGTAAGTCACAGAGAATTCTGGGGATCTTGAGGAGGAGACTGTTGGGGAGGTGACGTCACTTCACACATCAGGAGTCACGTAAATGGTTTTTTACTTTGAGTTTTAGCTTTTATTTTGTCCTCATTTGAATGGCTGCATTTCATGTATATCTTTGTAGTTACCCTAAATGTGTTCAAAATTGTTGATATATCCATTATAAAGATAATGTTAATGTTAATCCGATCTGAAGTGTCTGTACAGATCTAAAACATACAAACGTCAGAAACAAAGAGAAAATACTTTTGATGTGATTATGGCACAGTTAAAATATAAAAAAGCCTAGGATGCTTTCTAAGTTTAGACACTTAGAGATAGAAGCTGTTTTCCGTGACTTTATACACTGTAGTGCTATGTGGTGTTTTTTTTTTTTAGATATTGTCTCACTGATTGCCAACGGTGCTTCCCCTGATTCAGCCTCCCAGAGTTGTAGGAATGTAGGTTTGCACTACCATACCTGGCAGCTTGGTGCTTTAAACTTAAAAAGTGTGGCACTTAAGATGATCATTATAGGGCAGGGAATAGGGCTCAGTGGCACAGAGTCTGCCTGCCAACTGCAGGGTCATAAGTTCGATTCCTGTACCAAAAGAAAAAAAAAAATTTCTAACAACTCCTAAATGCTTGATTCAGGTATGAGTGAAATCGAGGGCAGTGGAAACTAAAAGCAATAATATCTAGCTCTTTTCTTTGAAGCAGCCCGAGGGATAAGTAAGTCCTGTGTGTGGTCAGTCTTGGTCCTCCAAGCTTGTGGACCCCAGTGTGCAGTTCCAGGCTGAGGCTGGGCCCTGCTTGCCTTCCTCCTAGGCTGCTGTTTCCAGCGTGGCAGGGTGTAGAATGCCTGGACTCTGCCCCTCTCTGTGGACCTCAGGCCGTGTTCTTGTCCCCACATCCCCAGGGTGGGGACTCAGGGTAGAGGCTGTGGGGCCTTATCACCAAGGTGTTGGGTGCCCTGAAGCTTTGTCATCCTCACCCTTACTTAGAAATCAGAGTCCAGGCATGGAATTGGCTCTCCTTCATTCTGTTTTCTATTTCTTAAAGTTTCCCCCTTAGTTTTTAATTAGAGGGAGAGTTAACTTCTGAAGAGCATGTGATGTGACAAGGGAATAATGACTCTTGGCTGTCTGAGTGCTTCTAGGGCAGTGGCCACACTGTGTGGCTGGCTGTTCATGTCGTGGAAAGCCTTGAGAGGTCCACAAGCACTGCCCCAGGAGCTCGAGTTACTCCAGAGGCACTTGTTCTAGTCAGGGCATTGTCAAAAGGTCCTGAAGCTTGGTGGGGCCTGGTTCCATGTCACTTCAGCTTGACTTTCTCTCCCCTCTGTTGCCTGGCAGTCCTGGTGCTGTCTGTGTGGCCCTGCCTAGTCCTGGCGGACGTTCACCTGCTCTGAGCGCCACGTGTGTGGTGTGCTGCGTGTGCTATCCTGTGTGTCCCGGGCATCTTGAGGGCAGCCCCCATGTGGCTCCGTGCATACTCACAGGCCCTGCCAGAGGTGCAGCTCTGTCCTCTGGAGCCCTCAAGGTCAGCATCCCCCAGGATGCAGTCTCTCTGGCTCCTTGGGTCGGCTCCTCTGCTGCTTCTTACACTTCTGGGAAGTCTGGAAGAAGTGATGTGCTTTTGTTCTTTTCTGTGCAGATGCTGTTAACCTTTTTTATCAGGATCCTAAAATAGAGTTTTTGAAGATTTGCTGGGTGTTGGCCGAGTCCAGCAATTGTTTCCTTAGAGTTACACAATTACTAAGATTTGTCATAGGTTTGTTCCAGACAGCTCACTGCTTTCTTAAGAGGTCAGTTCATCCCAGACCTGCACCCTGTGTTTGATGGACTGAGACGTGCTGTGAATGTGAAATGCGGGTTATGCTGTGGAGAGTTAGGGTAAAGCCCGGAGTAAAACATCCAGCTAATTTTTTGTCTTAATCTACATGTTGAAGTAACAGTGTTTTCGATGTCGAGATCAAGTATCATTAAATTTCCCCATGTTCCTGTTTACCTTTTTAAAAAAAATCTAGTTACTAGATAATTTAAAATTTCACAAGTGGTTTGCCCTGCCTCAGACTGCACTGATGCAGATTCCCGATGTCCATGGTCACCATCCACACCCTTGCCACCTGTCCCCTGGAAAGCTGTGAATGGCTGGGCTGAGGACTAGGCACAGAGAAGGGGTCATGGGTTCTTTCCCGTGGTGCTTACCACCTGCGGACCCCATCCCGGCTCATGCAGACAGGCTGCTCCTGCCAGAAGATCTGTCTGTGTCTATGGAGGTTGCAGACCAAGAGCAGGGTTAGCGCTGCTAATCCAGGTACTCCAGAACAAGATTTGAAAAGCATTCACCTGGTGTAAGGGAATGTTGAGCAGTGATAAACGCTTTTGCAGTAGAAATGGGAGAAATGATCTTCTGCAGAGCAGGTCAACACCAGTGGCGATAAGAAACGCTTGCCCTAGATTTCTCCAGTGGGGATACTTTGGGCAGTAAATTTTTATTCACATTTGTTCTAGAGAGTAAAATGTTGGTTAATGTGCTAGTTGATTGTAGTCTCCTGCTTGGTGTGTAAATCTTGATAAACTTGCTAATTTTGGTGAACTTTGGTTGCAGTTGATGCGATGAAGAGAGTCGAAGAGATCAAGCAGAAGCGCCAGGCCAAATTCATCATGAACAGGTACGAGCCTGTGCAAAGTGAGCACAAGACAGTACTTACCCTGGGCAGAGAGGCGCGAGGTCATTTCACAGACAGGGTCCCTGGATGGCTTTGCCTCGTGTTGTCCACTTGGGTGTGAGTAGGCCCCATTGGCAGGAATGCCGCTTGTGCGTGTGACCTTGTCACATGCTGTCAGGAGGGCCACGGTGCCACCTCGCAGTGAGCCCTGACCCTTGGGCTCAGGTGGTATCTCTTACTCTCGGGCGGATGCCTTGCTACTGTGCCCCATCGCCGTGGTGACGGGTTGCCCAGTGGGACTTGCTAGTTTCCTTTCTCCCGCATTTTGTAGTTGATGTTTCTGTGTCAGAGCTGCCTGTACCAGTTTCCAGTCATTCTGTGTTGTGTCTGTGTACGTTTGTGGGTCCTCATGGTGTTTGTCTTCCTCACCTCTCCCTGATGTCCTGACTGCCCTGCATTGTTCCAGTGTGCTGGATGTTCTGTTTCATTTCTGTCATTCCTTCTTGGTCTGTAAGTCTTTGCTGTTTTATGGCTGACAAGCATCCAGGCTCCTCCCTGACCTCATTTCCCTGTTTGAGCCTGGAAACAGCTCAAGGCTGTCGTGAGTTCGAGGCTAGCCTCAAGCCACACAAGCACACAGATTTCCACGACGTAGGAAGACCTAGGCGTTGTCAGTCCATGGTAGCGATGCCACAGACCCTGGTTTGCGAGGCCTGTTGGTTCCTCACAGTCTGCTTCCTTCAGTCAGCAAATCAAAGGATGCAGTTGTGTTCAGGCAGATTAGGACGGGACAGTCATTAGGACCGGACAGTCGCTGAATTTGCTTTACAAGAGCCAAGGGGTCGCTCCCAATAAGGGTGATATTCAGTGCCTGCCCTTCGAGCAGCGAGCTTGGGTCCTGCCAGGCGGGGCAGAGGGTCTCGTGGGGTGGGGAGAACTCACCTGGCCCTGGTCCCTGCCAGGGCTGTCTCTGCTGCGTTGAGTGGTTGCACTGTGAATTGATATCCTATAGAGAAGTTTTGTGACCGAGATTATGACCTCACTGTTTTACCCTAGGTTGAAGAAGAACAAAGAGCTCCAGAAAGTGCAGGACATCAAGGAGGTCAAGCAGAACATCCACCTCATCTGGGCCCCTCTTGCAGGTGAGTGCAGCCAGCTGTGTGCGTGCCCTGGGGGGCTGCTGTGACCCACATGTCCTTGTAAGACGGTCTGTGTAGGACTTGGTTTGGAGGCACGGACTTCCTGTCCATGCGGCGGCACGCATCTGCTCCCTAGCTCTTCAGGCTGAGGCAGGAGGATCATTTAGGACATGACTGTGATTTCTCTTCTCTTTTTTTTGAGACAATGTCTTACTGTGTAGCCCAGGCTGGCCTTGAACTCCAGGTAACCCTCTGCCTCAGTCTTCTGAGTGCTGGCGTTACACGCCTGTGCCACAAGACCTCGAAGAGTCCATGAGTTAGAGCCAGCCTGGGTGGCACAGCGAGACCCTGTGATGACTTCTCAGGGGATTTCTGTCTTGAGCCTGTTCTGGTCAAAGGATACATTCCTTGCTGGTGGTGCTCAGCTTCCAGTTTACGCTGGAGTGAGGCGGGGAACTTGGTATTGGAGTACAAAGGGGCATGGCTGGGGCTACAGAGGTTGGACCTTGCGTCCGAAGGTGCCTGTAGGTGTTAAGATGTGGCCTGGTTACCCCTGGTAGTCACTGGGCAGCTATTCTGTGCTCGGGCTGCTGGAAAACTGTTTCCTGTTCACCTGGCACATCGATCAGTCTCTTTGAAATCACTTAATTTATAGAGATCACTTGCAGGAGAGAAATTGCACCAGACTCAGTAAGGTTCAGATTCTGTCACGTTCAGTAGATTTGTATAAAAGTCTTGCATCTATTTATAGCAAATTCTGTTCAATCAAAGCAGACAGAATCCTGGAGCATTTGTTCCAGGGGCAGCTGGTGTGAGCTGACACCCAGGAGACAGCAAAATGGGCCTCTTTTGTTTTTGAGGCAGGAAGCACAGTGTAAAAGCAGGAACCCTGGTTCGGGTGGCCAGGGTCCCCTTCCGGCCTCACTGCCACCGCTGAGCCCACCTGGTCCTGGTAGAAGTGTGGGTTCTTGTTGGGAGGAGAATGGATGGGGTCACTTGCTTTGTGCAGTGTGAGACCTAGTAATTAGCTCCTCTGGAATTTCTTAGAAATGGCTGTTGTAAGACAGTTTAGGTCCTTTATAGGTATTGAACAGATTCTCAAAGTCACATGAAATTGATTACATTTTAAATTCTGTCTTTTGAAAGGCAAAGGAAAGCAGCTGGAAGAGAAGATGGTGCAGCAGTTGCAACAGGACGTGGACATGGAGGATGACTCTTAGGGACCTTGCCGTGTGTGCTCTTTCTGTGCGATGGTCTCTCGTGGACGCTCAGAGCTTGGAAACGCTTGACCTGTTGGTTGCTGAGTCCGTCCAGTGAGGGCCACCGGAGTCTCTGCTGCGCTGCTGTCTGCCCACGGCCGGCGGTGGTGCTGGTCTCCTCCGTCGTGGCCTCCTGGTAGATTGTGTGCTTCTCTTTCCTGTAAGGGTAATGATTCTGTGTGCAAGTGCAGAGGTGCACAGTGGACGTCAGACGGCTGTGCCATTTGCATGATAGCTTAGGCAGCGTCTGTGTAAAGACTGATCACCAGATTTATAAAAGTGACCGTGAAATAAACATTTCTTTGCATTAAAATACTCCCTTTATTAATGGGGGGGGTACAGTAAGGAACCAGCCATGTGTGTGGCAGCTTCTGTGTCTCGTCTGGTGATTTTCTGGCTTGGTTTCTTGGCTTCTTTGAGGACAGTGAAGCCACATTGCCCTGGGCTCTGAGACCTGACTTGAGCGGCTGTCGGGTGGCTGTGGGCTGGTGAGGGTCAGAGCTTGGATCTTCTGTAGACCAGCTGTCCCCAGCCTGTCAGCAGTCTGGAAGTGTGAATCCCAGTGGCTTTCAAACTTGCAAAAACCTCATTGAATTTGGGAAATAGAATTTATGGCCAGAACATCTGTCCATTATTTGCCCATAAATAAAACGATCTCCAAAGTGTCTATATCTAGTATTTAAAAGTACTGCACTTACAAAAGTATGAAGCACTGATTACTTGGAAGAAAATAAATCCCTCCTCTAGCCACTCAGGTGGGAGGCGTATCCTAAGGGGAACCGTGTCTCTGCATCTTTACTACTTTACATGTCTCACAACTTCACTTTACCTTGGGGGTAGAATTTATAGTACACCACATTCCTAGCATTACGTGATCATAAAGGAAGGGCTCAAATTTTATTTTAGTATTAGGTGGTAAAAATGGAGATCACTCTCTAAGCAAGTGTTAGCCAGAGTTCAGCGTGGTTTTGCTGTTGTGTTCTCAGTGACAAAGTGAGATTTGTAAGCAAAATGACTGCTGGGTGGGTTCGGGAAGTGAGGTGTGGGAGAAAGTCACTGCCTGCGACCTTCCCTCTGCATTGTGTTTGTGGGGCCCTTTTTGGTATTGTTTGAGGCAGGGTTTCACTATATGGTTCAGGCTGGCCTCAAACTCGAAGGGATCCTGCCTCAGCCTCCCACTTGCTGGGATTACAGGTGTGCACCATTGCACCAGGCTTGGGTCTGTGTGTGTAAGGGAGCATATTTGGATTACGTGTTTGGTTTCTACCTTGCTGGTTAGGGAGGTGCAACTGCCCTGGGGCCATTGGCCACATGGAGCACTGATGCTGTGTTCCTGTGTGGGATAGATATCCCCTGCCCTGGCAGGATGACATGGTTTTCTGTCCATGCAGCTCTCGCTCTGCACCTTGTGGATGTGCACGCCGTGGTCATCCCTGTACTGCTGAGTTAAGGTGGATCACTGCGATGATGATAGCCTGGCCACTCAGATCCCTGCCTCAAAACATAAGGAGCCTGGGGTTATAGCTGGGAATGTCCAAGGCCCAAACCCGCAAACCACAAAAGGAAAGTCGCCTGCAGATGGTGCTCCTGGGCTGTGGTGCCTCAGCATCCATGTCGAGGTCTGCGTTGAGCACCTAGCTCCCTCCACAGTGCCCTGTGGAGGAATAAACCCTCCTCAGCTGTGCTAAGTCCCAGCTTCCAGGGCTTGTAACTTGCCCTTAATTACTTCAGAGGCACTGGTTCTGCTCCCGTCCCTGCAGGGAGTCCCACAAGGGCCCCTGAGCCTCGCTAAAAGGTTCGCCGCAGTGTAAAGTGGTTTCTCCTGGCCTGGTCCAGGTGCAGGGCTCCCTGCTTGCCTCATGGAGATGGCTGCTCACACGCAAATCTGATTTGTCTGTAAACTGAGTAGGAATCGAGCTTGCTGGCTTTGCCACCTCAGTGCTAACAAGGGGCTCAGCCCTACAGGGCTCTCCAGGTCCAGGACCCCCTGACGTGGGGCCTTTGCCGGCTGCCTGAGCTTTGGTCTTTCTCCTTAAGTACCCTGCTCCCACCCCAGCCCAAGAGCTCCTGATCAGAACCAGCTTTGTCCGGCCAAGTTGGCTGTAATTTCATGTGTGTCTACCAACAAGGTGTGACCCTACTGTACACACGTTTCACTTTATGGTGGGCATGCTCAGAGTGTGCCCTGGTGCCCCACAGCCTGACACTAAACAACGTTAGTAGCGCCCATGCCGTGTGTGGGCAGGGGACAGACGGTTCATTTCCCTGGCATTGGCTGTGTCCTGAGACTGTTGTGCTTTGTCCTACATCATCCCTCGGAGGGAGATGTAAGCAAACACCTGATTTTTCACTGTCACTAGCCACCACGTCATCTTGCTTGGATTTGAAGGTGAGACTACTTTTATTTGGCGCGAGCAGTAGCTGAACGCAGGCACTGGGTGACACCATCCTGCCTGGGTAGGGAAGGGCTTGTGGCACCGAGGCTGAGGCTGAGGCCGAGGTGTGGGCTGCGAAGGTGCAGGCTGGGAGGTGTCGTGAGACCCTTAGCAGATCTTGATGGATAAAGGATGTAAAAAGCTCATTAATAAATTTGTGGTGTGGAAAAGGTCATATTGGGTTAAATAAAATTCTGGGGATTTAGCTCAGCGGCATAAGCGCCTGCCTTGCAAGCAGGCAGTTGTGAGTTTGACCCTGGTACCGATAAAAACGAAAAGGACAAAAAAAAAAAAAAAAAAAATTCTACTAATATAACACAGCAGCCAGTGAATGCAACTGTGAGCTGCGGCTGGGCTGGTGCTGTGGTGCCTGTGCCTCTGGGGGCCAGGTAGGGGCAGTAGAGAGTCGCCAGCTTCTGGGTGCTGGCGGGCCCAGTCCAGAGCATAGAGCCAGAGCAGCCTGGAGGCCCCGAAGTGCTTAGGGCTGTGGGATGTGTGCAGCCCTCATTTTCCCTGCCTGTACACTTCTGAGGTCTGGTCTGTGTTACTGTTATTTCTGTCTTTGTTTAATACGTTGCTGAGACTGTGAAAGGCTCTGCTTTTCTCTGGACATGGAGCCGGCTGCAGTCTATGCACAGGGCCGAGGGCAACTCCAATGAGGGATGGGCAAGGCATTGGAGGTCTTGCTGTCCTGTCCCTTGCCTAGTGAAGCCCAGATTTAGCTTCTTTTCCTGGCTCTGGGTTAGCACCACCTGCTCTGGTTCACATAACGCTGTTTGGCCTGAGGGAGTCGGGGCTGGAGATTCTGGGGTTGGGTGCAGAGGGGAGCCCACCACTGCTGAGCTGCTTGTCCACTTGTCTGCCTAGCCCCCAGATTCCGACTCTGAGGCCCTTCACCATAGCCAGTGACTATCACCACTGCCCTGCTCCATTGCCTGGCCCTGTTCTGATCTCCTTTGGTCCCAGCCAGCTACCCCTAACTTCACTCAGGGCTTTTCCTGAACAGGTACTTGGGCCTTGATGCAGCTGTGAGCACCTGTTAGCTTGGCCCAGAGCTCAGGAGGCTGCACAGGTCTCTGCAAGTTCACTACTGAAGGTGCTGGTCAGACCGTTAGTGCTTCCTGTGATAAAGATGCAGCTCGAGCCAGCTGATGGACACCAGGCCCTCACTGGCACTGTTAACAGAAAGGACCAGGACGCAGTAAGCTTCCCTACGGCTTCAGACTGCTTTTGCTCTTGGTGCTTTGTTCTGGGAAGGTGGGAAAGTAGAGCCTGACTCACACTCCTCTGATTATAAGTAGCAGGAAGGCAGTGGGGACTAGCTGGCCAGTGGGGCTCCATGCTCATGGCACTGGCATCCTTTAACTATCAGCATTAGTCATGTCCTTAGGGCAGTGTTAGTCAGCCTTCCTGTTGCTGGACACAGTGCTCAATACTTAAATCCTGAGAGTTTATTTGGCTCACTGCTTGGGAGGGTTCAGTCCCTGGTCAGCAGGCTTCATGGCAGGAACATCTTGGAAAGGTGATGGAGCAGAGCTGTTCAGACTCTGGGTGACAGGAGCAGAGCAGGGAGCAGCCCTGGGGAGGGAGGAGCAGGGGCCACACATGATACCAAGGCCTCCCCCCAATCAGGGAAACAACAAGCAGGACCCTCACGATGTGCTGAGGCTGATGTGTGCTCAGGGTCTTCAGCCAGGTCCGGCAGGGCCAAGTTATCCCTGCAGACCCCACTGTGCTAAGAGCAGGGGCAGCAGGTAATCATGAATGGCTGTTGATGATGAGAGAAGGGTGGCATGGCAGACTTTGTCTCAAGTCATCCCCATCTGTTATCGGACTTCACTTGTACCCCTGACACATACCCAGGGTTCCCCCAGCTCTGTGCCAGCTGTGGAGGGGACTCTGTGCAATGCTGACCTCCCTCCACTATGTGTGGGGAGCTCCGAATGCTTGCCAGCATCTGCAGCTTTGTTTCTGGTGACAACCATAGCCATGTCAGCTGGAGAGGCTCTTTGGGGTTGGGGTTCTTTCCTAGCTGCAGCTGTGCAGCCTTGCATAGGACGCTAAGAGCGTCTGACGGTTATCCTGGGGCACAGGCGGCCTGGGGCAAGCCAGGTGTCCCGTGCTTGAGGAGCTCCATTGGCTTGGGAGGCCTCTGCTGTCTGAAGCCCAGAGGTCAGAGGTGGTCTAGGGGAGTCCACAGGATGATGGTTGATGCCCAGGTAGATGCTGGTGCCAGGTGTTTTAGCCAGGACAACTTCACTGGTGAATGCACGTATGTTAGACTGGAAAAACAAAGAGACATGATGTTATGAGGAGAAATGGCACTGTCATATTTAAGGACCCAGATGAGGTAGAGGGAAAGGTGCCTTTGATTTAGACATGTCATTATATCAGGATGACGTTGAGGTAGGATCACTGTCATGGTGAGGTAGAATTCTGAAAATCAAGTGTGAGGTTAGGAGGGGTGAAGTTATGAGAGGTGATTACTCCCCCATCTGAAAGCATAAAAGTTAAGAGGGTAGGTGTGTAAAACTTGTCTCCAGTCCAGGAGTTGAACTGGAAAAAATAGGAGGAGTAGGGAAGGCAGTGGCTGTACCATATAGGGAAGGTAAGGGCATAGGCTTTCAGGGATGTCACATTTAACCAGACAGCTGAGGATAGAAAGAGCTAAGACAGTCATCACATAGAACATTATGAAGATGATCTTATGCATGATGTGGGAGTCTTTAGGAAAGGCTGTCAAGAGTCCTGCTGTAAAAATGATCATTAATAGAATGCAAGAAATTAGGAACCAAAGTGGATAACAAAACATGACTTAGCCTGTTAACTGTGGCTGCAAGGCCTTTGTGAAACGGAGACCGGTGGACAACCAAAGATG